GCCTTCATTTAATCGATTATTATTCAGCTTTCTTTTCAGGCTTTTCGCTTCTGTACACCTTAATCGATTAAAATTCCTAATTTAATCGATTAATTCTCTCTGGTACAGAACATCAGCTTTCTTCAATGGCTTTATTCTTCTCAGCCTATTTAATCCCTCATTCTCCTTTATTTCAACACACCTCTTGCACTCCAACATATTTCCCTGAGCTATTCATACTTTGCTTCATCTTCCTCATCAAAATATTATTTTTGAGAGTTAGAAATATTTTTTCTTTGAGTGCTATAGAAGTTGTCATCCATAGAGCTTAAATCTTTCAACACTACTTTGCTCAATTGTGTGAGCTTTCATTCTTGTGTTGTAAACTCAATCTCATTTGAGTGTTGTTCTTAAGACTTGTGTGACTCAAGTCTTGTTGTTGTAAGAAAGTGAGGCTTGTGTGATTCAACTTCTCAAGTTGTACCGGGTTTTCAAGCACCCGTTGAAGCTTGAAGATTAGTAGGAGTTTCGAGAGAGTCTCTCGGAGGACTGGACTAGCCACGAGGTAGTGAACCAGTATAAATCCCGGTGTTCTTCTTTCCCTTACTCTCCTTACTTTTTCCTGCGATAATTTTTACGAAAAACGTACATTCTTGAAAACAACTCTATTCACCCCCCCTCTAGAGTTGCACTTTTGTCTAACATATAACATTATACAAATACTGTATACTTCAAATTTTTTTCAAATTATTCTAATTAACCTAGCAGATGATATGTTAATAATTTTCAAATGTATATAGTAAAATTATCATTAACAAATGTTATATGCTTTATCATTATTTTAACTTTTAAGGTTTATTTTGTTCGATTTCTGAAAAATGTTGTAGTAAAAAGAAAAATTACAAATTCCAAACAAAAAAATCATTTATTCCCATTCATCGCACGGGTTAAAATGCTAGTATATATAAAATTTGAGAGTTGGGTTTCCGGAATTGCGACACGTGGCAGGTCTACATTGCAAATGTTTTTACAAATCATCCGCCACCTATGACGACTTTGATAAGATGGCAATTTTTGTTTAAAATGTGTAAAGATTAGATTCTATATATCGAGTATACATACCTTATAACTCTAGTAGATTATAATTACAGAGATCAGAATTAATATCCAAAACAATTTCTACAATCAAATCATTGACTTACTTTTTATAAGTAATGGATCAAAGTACATAGCCATTAAATTCAAACATTTCTATAGACACTTTTTCATCTGTAAATAATTTAAATTATTGTGGTAATTCAAAATTTGAAATTGTAAAATAATTTATTTTTATTTTTAATTTTAATTTTAATAATAACATAAATTTATATTCTATGTAATTAAATTTAAAAATAATATAAAGACTAGGCTTGGATTCGTTTTGTTTTATGAAAAACAACACATATTAAAAAATCATTATTGTTTATAACTATCAACCCGTATCCAATGTGCACGAAACAACATTACTCGGTGGATGAATTGAATTATTTAAGGGTATACTGTCACTTCTATGTTCTTGTATCTTTATATTTACAATGTGATTTAATGTTTTTTGGAATTTAGAACTCTAGGTTCGGCATTAGTAGACAGTAGCTATGGGTTAGTGCATTTTAGATCATATTGTTGATATCATTTTTTTAAAAAAATGAAATTTCAATATTTATATTAATCTTCTTCATTTTATGTTGTGTACTTCCAATTGTATTCTGTTCATGAATGCCTCCTGGGCTCCAATGGTTAAGTCGAACTGGGAAAAAACGTACGTACGGGTATCCCTGAACTGCTTGGTGATCCATCAGGTGGGGATTCCACCCACCCAACGAAGAACTCCTTCGTTGGTTGAGCATGACCCGCTGATCCAGTGGGAACCCTCATGTCTCCCATACAGTAAAGTCATATTCCTTAGACTAGAATAGGTTATAGGGACATGGCTTGGTGATCCACCAAGCATGATAAACTCACAGGTTTGAGGTGAATGGAACAGGCAAGCGCTAGGTAAATTGTGTGAGTTGAACTGTGCATGTATGACCTACGTGTTGATTGCATAATATCACTTGACTATTATGAATTGTAGATTCCTTTGATTGTTTACTTGACGTTAATTATATCTCACTCAGCGTCAATGATGAGCATGTAGTTGTTTGTGTGCTACACGCAGGTAATCAGGTAGAAGATGAATCTAGAGGACGAGGAGATGTGGGTGGAGCTAAAGGAGGATATGGAACTCTTAATTATTTATGAATAACTTAATACGTTTTCGGGCATGAGTCCCAAGTTGCATTTATTTACTTATCAAGTTTCCGCACTATTTCAGTTTACTCCGATACTGGATTTTTGATGAACCGTTGGATGTTTTCCTAAATTGTTTTGAAAAGTAGAGTATGTTAGATACCGGAATAGTGGCAACCCGGTTCACTAACCTGTGGATCCAGGTAATGCGGGTTGGGGTATTACATTTTGGTATCTGAGCATATGGTTTTAAAACCAATCTTCAGATCACGAATGAATGATTTCCAAAAGGATACACCACATCTCTTGAGACTCATCTACCCCGGGAAGGTAATCAGTAAATAAGCTTTGTCTGTTATATGTTGTTGACGGATTAGGAAAGTTTGAATTCTTATAGAATGAGTCAAGCTTCCACCCACGGTCAGGGTAACACCCACCACATCGACGACGAGCACGTTGATGTCCACACTGAAGGATCCAGCTTCGTTCCCCACAAAATGCGGGACAACAAAACGTGCCCCAGAACGAGGGAAACCATGAGAATGTTGGAGGTCATCCGTTCCCCATATTACCAGATTTCATGATGCACTTCCTACAGGGAATGGAGCAAGCACAGTTGTTCCAGCCGCCGCCACCACCTCCGCCTCCGCCACCGGCTCGACAGGTCACTCTAAAGACATTAAAGGACAATGGCGCTGAGGAGTTTCTTGACAACAACATTGCTGAACCACAGATTGCCTTCGATTGGTTAGATCAAACCACGAGGGTACTAAAGAACTTGAGGATTCTAGAAGCTGATCGCCCTAAGCTAGCTGTCCAGTTGCTTTGGAAGGGGGCATATGAGTGGTGGAAGAGAGCAAGTGAGAACGCTCCTTAGCCACTAACATGGGCATATTTTGACAGCTCCTTACAGAAGGAGTACATTCCGCCTCGTTTCCGAGAAGGATAACGATCTGAGTTTGTGGCTTTGAGGCAGGGAGACATGACGCTCCCTGAGTTTTAACAGAGGTTTCATCACTTGGCCCAGTTTGCAGGAACTTTGGTGGGTACCAAAGCAGATCGCATTGAGGAGTTCACTACCAAACTCCAACCAGATATACAGCCCTACTTGTCAGTTTTGCCAACAACAGACTTCACAGCCGCGTACAACCAAATAGAGAAAGCCGAGAAGGGGCTGATTGCATGGAAGAAGAGTGTGGCCGGTTCTAAGGAGCGAAGCACCCAACACAAGGGCGGTGTCATGTCGGGTGGAAAACAAACCCCTGGTGGAGGTCACAACATGCAACATTCCAAGAACACCAAGTGAGGACCAGCCCAGTCTGGAGCATTGAGCAGCAAGCCGCGACCATTCAGGCACCCTAAGTGCAATGTCTGCGGAAGGAACCATCTAGGAGAATGCTAGTTCACACACGGGCTATGCCTGTGATGCAGTAAGGCGGGACACTTCAAGAGAGATTGCCCTACGAATTCAGGACCCGTGTTCCCTACCGCCGAGACGCAAACACAGCCGTCTGTGGCCCGTCCTCCACAGAGCCAGCGCACTACCGTGGGATTGAACCCGCGAAGGAGCCAGAGTCAAAGCCAAAGTCATGACTGCCAACAAGGAGGAACTCCAGCGCGCACATATGCCATGTAGGGGCGAACCGAAGTAAACAAAGACGTCATTCTAGGTATGTTCTCACTATTTGATACCCACATGCTAGCACTTATTGATCCGGGTTCTACTCTATCTTATATTTGCATCCCTGTGCCGGAAAAGTCTGACATTTTGAGAGGCAACTTAGAGTACCCCATGATAGTGTCCAATCCATTAGGGCATAGAATGAGGTTACACCACGTGTTCCAAAATTGTCCATTGACCGCCCACGGACAAGTACTCTATGCGAACATAATAGAGCTACCATAAAAGGAGTTCGATATTATCCTTAGCATGTATTGCCTGACAGAGCATCAAGCGATAATCAATTGCGGACTATGCACCGTACGATTGAAGGCCGAGGACGATGGGGTCATTGAAGTTAAGGGGGAATTGTTACCTAAACCCCCTGAGTTCGTATCCCTTATGCAAGCCAAGTGTCTCATCCGTAAGAGATGCAAGGCCTTTCTTCGCAATGTACGTGATGTGCATTAGATGACCCCTGAACTGAAGGACATCCCCTCAGTGAGTGAGTTACCAAATGTGTTCCCCGATGATCTCCCTGGCCTACCACCTCCAAGGGAGGTGGAATTCTCCATCGATCTGATTCCAGTAACCGAGCCCATATCCGCAACACCGTATCGTATGGCACCGGCAGAAATGAAGGAACTGAAGGCCCAACTCCAGGAACTTCTTGACGAGGGATTTATTAGATCAAGTGCGTCCCCGTTGGGAGAGCCAGTGCTCTTAATTCGGAAGAAGGACGATTCCATGAGGCTTTGTATCGACTATCGACAGTTGAACAAAGTAACCATCAAGAATCGCTATCCCTTGCCATGCATCGACGACTTATTTGACCAACTCAGAGGAGCCACAGTATCCTCCAAGATCGACATTTGATCGGGATATCACCAGATTCCGATCAAAAGGGAGTACATTCCGAAGACCGCCTTCCATACACGCTACGGGCATTGAACTTACGGTGATGCTGTTTGGGTTGACTAACGCCCCAACAATATTTATGGTTCTTATGAACAGAATCTTCCGTCCTTATTTGGATCAGTTTGTGGTGGTATTCATCGACGACATCCTAGTGTATTCCAAGACACTTGAGGAATATGCTAAGCACCTGCAGGTCGTGTTGAGTGTTCTTAGAGAACACAAACTCTACACCAAATTGTCAAAATGTGAGTTTTGGCTCAACGAAGTCACATTCCTAGGACATGTCATTTCAAAGGAGGGTATCAAGGTGGACCCCAACAAAATCTCAGCTATCACGGAGTGGAAGACTCCCAAGAACTCACGTAAGGTGAGGAGCTTCCTCGCTTTAGCTGGATATTACCAGCGCTTCGTGGAAGGTTTCTCTTCCATTGCAACTCCACTGAACAAACTTCTGAAAAAGGACATCAAATTCATTTGAATAGACGCCTGCCAACAGAGTTTTGACCAACTGAAGAAATGTTTGACTGAGGCACCCGTGTTGTTGCAGCCCATACCGGGAGTGGACTACACTGTGTTCAGCGACACATCCCATAATGGGTTGGGATGTGTGCTTATGCAGGAGGGTAGGGTCGTAGCCTACGCCTCGCGACAACTGAAACCACATGAGTGCAATTACCCCACCCACAATCTTGAGCTAGCAGCAGTAGTATTTGCATTAAAGATATGGCAACACTACCTGTTTGGAGAAACGACATACATACATACAGATCACAAAAGCCCGAAGTATTTGCTTACGTAGAAGGAGCTGAACCTGAGACAGAGAAGATGGTTAGAATTGATTAAGGACTACGACTGCTACATTTATTATCATCCGGGTAAGGCCAACATGGTGGCCGACACTCTGAGTAGGAAGACCATGGCTGAATTGCGATTACAGCCAACTCTGAGGAGTGAGATTTGCACGGCCCAGAATGAGGACGAATACTGCGCAAAGACTAGGGAGCTTGTCTCTAAGGGGGAGAGACAAGAATTCACCATCGACAACGACGGAGTCTTGTTCCACCGGGATTGCCTGGTGGTGCCTAGTGGTGAGGTGAGGGAGCGCCTGTTGCGTGAAGCTCACAGGACTACGTACACCATGCACCCGGGCAGCAACATAATGTATTAGGACCTCAAGAGGACATACTGGTGGCCGACCATGAAGAGGGAAATATCAGAGTTCACTTCTAGATGCTTGACCTGTTAGCAAGTCAAAGCTGAGCACCAGGTTCCGAGTGGGTTGTTACATCTTCCGGTCATTCCCGAGTGGAAGTGAGAGCAAATCACTATGGATTTCGTGATCAGACTTCCACTGTCAGCCAAAAAGAACGACGCAGTTTGGGTCATCGTAGATCGACTGACGAAGTCAGCTCGTTTCCTGCCGATCAGGAGGGACTTCTTGTTTCCGAAATTAGCCGAACTCTACATCCATGAGATTGTCAGATTGCACGGGGTACCCGCGTCTATCATTTGAGATTGCGATCCGTGATTCACGTCACAATTTTGGAATGGTCTACAGAAGGCTCTTGGTTCCAAGCTCAACTTCAGTACAACATTTCATCCACAAACTGATGGCCAGTCAGAGAGAGTAATTCATATTTTAGAAGACATGATGCAGGCTTGTGTCATCGATTTTGGAGATAATTGGGAGCGATATCTGCCACTTATGCAGTTCGCCTATAATAACAGCAATTAGGCTAGCATTCAGATGGCTCCGTATGAGGCATTGTACAGAAGACGTTAAAGAACCCCGGTCAGTTGGACCGAACTAAGTGAACCAAAGCTCGAAGGACCAGATCTCGTCTGCAAAATGGAGGAGAAGGTCCGAGTGATTCGGGACAGACTGCAAATAGCCTCAAATGGTTAGAAGTCCTACGCCGACCTTAAACACTGGAAGATTGAGTTCAACGTCGATGATTTTGTGTTTCTAAAGGTATCACCTTGGAAGAAGGTGTTGAGATTTGGGAAGAAGGGAAAATTGAGCCCCAGGTTTATCGGGCTCTACTGAGTCACTGAATGTGTGGGACCGGTAGCTTACCGACTCGAATTTCCTCCAAAATTGAAAAAGATACATGATGTATTTCATGTGTCCATGGTAAGGAGATACCGCTTTGATCCTTCTCATATCCTTCCCGAAAGAACAGTCGCACTCGATGAGAGTTTGTCCTATGAGGAAGAGCCCGTTCAAATATTGGGGCGTGAGGTAAAGGAACTGAGGAACAAGTTTGTTCCCTTGGTCAAGGTGCTCTGGAGGAACCACTCCACATAAGAAGCAACCTAGGAGACTAAGGAGCCCATGCGAACCCAGTATCCTCATCTTTTCAGCGACCAATGACTCGGGTAATTTTGAGGACAAAATTATTTTAAGGGAGAGAGAAATGTAACGCCCCAAAACCCAGCCTATCCGAATTAATTAACTATTGAGATAGACCCGGGATTTATTTAAAGTAGTTAGCAATAAATATTAAAAGTTATATCGTTGTGAAGGGTTCGACAGAATGAATCCAACGGCGCGATTGAATTTGGATTCGGAGCCCGTGGGCCCGGAAAGTGCGTTTTGGCCAGGTACGCTAAGTTAATACAGAGCCCAAACCCCAAAAGTATAAATATATGCCTACACACCTGAAATCCTTTATGCCTTCATACTATCCTCACATAACCGCACGTCTCTCACTCCCTCTCTCTATCGACAACCACTACAGCGCCTAGGAGGAAGAAGAAGAAGAAGAAGAGAAGAGGAAGGAGGAAGGGGTCGCCGGCGAACCATCGTCGTCTCGTCTTCAAGCCTTTCATTTGTGAGTTAGTTTTGCTGTTTCGAGTTGAGTACGTGGAACCCTAACGTTAGAGTAGGCAATTAGGTTTGAAATCTACGTTTGTAATCATCGTGAGGATTGAATTGCATGAAAACCTATTTGATATGATCATTCAGGAATTCTTGGGTTGTGATGGAAACTATGGGTAGAGTTCATGTTTTAAGGCATATTTTAATATTACGGTATTATGTGATATTCATTACGTGTTTATCATCATGTTTGAACGTTGAATTGGAGAATCGGTGTTGAATACCTAGTGGAAAACGAGCTGGTGCAGAAACTGGAACTATCGCGGTGAACGATAGGTCGGTACCACCGGGACGGTACCCAGGTACTGTCACCTTCCTCGTTTTCACCTCCCTCTACCGGTACCTTTCACAAACCGGTACCCTGGTACCAGGCAGATGGTAGGCCCTACCGCCCAATCGGTAGCGGTCACCGTGACAGGGTACCATGTGAAGGCAAAAGGCATTCTGGCCAGTATTCACGTACCGTGGGATGGTACCTTAGTACCCTTGGGGTGGTACCCCCTACGGCTAAGGGTACCATGAGGTACCTGAACTGGACAGCAAACTATGTTTCGCCGAGGACGGACTCCGAGGCTTGTGTGTATTGCATGACAGGAAGTCAAGGGTGTCAACACCCTAGACCAACCACTAAATGATATATCGCTGTTACAAAGTGTTGATCCAACGCGTGTTTGACTATGAGAAATATATATGTTGCATATGATATTGCAAGTACGAGTGGCCTGATCCAGCCGCAGCAAGCAGGTACCACGTGTTGATCCAACACGTTTGGTAAGGTAAGTCTACCCAGGGGGAATCCTTGGGACCGACATAAATATAAAAATTAAGAGTATAAACCGGGCACTACTACGGAATATAGTTTACACAGCAGATAAATATGGCTTTTCCCATCGGAAAACAGTCGTTGTCCATGCAACCGATGGGAAAGCTCTCAGGTTTACGCAGCGCATATTTGTCCGTTGTGTAAACTTTATACATCGCATCTATTATCCGATGTGTAAAGTTTACACATCGGATAATATATGCGCTGTATAAAGTTTACAAAGCGCATACGCTATGTAAATATTAGAGTTTTCCCATCGATTGCATAGACAATGATTGTTTTGCACCTTACACATCGAACAAATATACGCGGTGTAAACTTTATATAGCGGAAAAATATTCAATGTGTAAGCTTTACACAATGGATAATCATACGTTGTTTAAGCATGAAAGCTTTCATGTCGCATAAACACCATTTTATTAATGAGAGAAATTATATTTATCCAATATGTAAAATTACAATATATATAACAAAACACATTTTATTAAAAAAGAATAAAACAAAATACATGAGGGGAGGACCAAACCAAAGCCCCTCAATAAATGGCAAAAACATAAGTTTAAAGTGAACCATAATAAATAATACTTGCTAAAATAGAATTCAAGCCAAAAATAATAGTTTTCTGCAAAAAATAAAGCTGAAGTGCATTGCCAATACTTCACGCGGTCCCAAAGTTAGAAATCCAATTTGATAAATTTCCCAGATTGTTGCTATTGAACTTTTAACATAGGGGCTGTTTGTTTCAGCCTCTTAATGGTTCAGATGTCTGAATGGTTAAGAGATTTGCCTCTGAATGGTTAAGTATTATACAGAGTCTGAATGGTTAAGACCTCTTATCTGAATTGATCAGACATTTGCCTCTAAATAGTTAAGCAATATACTAACTCTTAATGGTTCAGACCTCTTACTGGTTCAGCACTTAATGGTTCAGACCTCTTACTGGTTCAGCACTTACCTATTCAGAAGTTGCCAAACAGCCCCATAGTGTATTTTCACTCTTCAGAATTCCAAGCCTACTGCAAATTTAAATAAACCTCTCTTCACCACCAAAACCTACAAATCAACAAATTCAATCAATATTCATAGTAATGAATGAGTAAGTTTTGGAGTAGTAGACATTATTTCACAATGTAATAGGCATATCCTCATTAAGAAAAAGTCCAATAACACTTTTTTTAAAATAGAATATGCTTTATTAGAACATGTTTACCCCTTTAAGTCGACTTGAGACATATTTAGATCACTCACAAGTGTAAAATTAGCATAATGGTATTATTAATACACAACTAATGGACAAGACATGAAGGTTCAAGGCTAAATGTTCATCCAACAATTTCATATTGGAAACAAACAAAAAAAGAAATCTAGGCAATACGTAGTTGTCATAAGACGCAAAGGAAATAGTCACAAACCTCTCAAAAACAAGCTGAAAATTAGCAATGAAAACACACTACTCATTATTGTTCAGTTCCATGAAATCTCTACCCTTTAGGTGCAAATTTACCTTGTTCATGGCTGACATTGCTTTACTTGCACCTTTCAATCCAGTTGATAAAGACCTGCTAGCATATAGCGCCTGCCAATGCAGGAATTAAATATACATTATATAGTTCAGGATTTTATATAGTACATAGTAGGCCATTGCAGAGAATAAAGAGTATCCACCTGTGTTTCGAAATGGGGTGGAGGGAATTAACGTAATTACAGTGTCATTCATGATCTCTGGGGATCTCGAATGCCTAAAGCATTACTGATAAATTAACATACAGGGACCCATATTTCTGGAAGAAAACCATCTAGTCTTGCTACAACCCTGATCTGAACGCGACTCCCCTGTAAAGTTACTATTTGGTGCCTCAGTCGAATCAGTTGGCGAGCTAAAATTTTAGTGGTAGCCTGACCATAAAATTTAAAAAAATAGGAATGCTTCATGTTTTTAGTTGATGAAGTGAGAACATAAAAAAAGGAGTTCAATTCATTGCTAGTTTCTTTGCACTCAATCGGTAAATTTTAGAGATCTGTTCAAACCCATCACACACACAAGTGTAAAAATTTAAAAGTTTGTCAACTTTAGAAAAAAATTTCCATGATAAAAAATCTTAAAACAATAAAAGAACTCTTTTTTTATATTTCAATTTCAATAAAAGTTTGTCCATCATTCATGTCAACAATGCTCATACCCTCGTTATATTTATGATACGTTAGACAATTTATCATAATTTCTTTATTGAATATGGAAAGTGGAAAACTAATTCTAGACAAACGAAAACAAGAGGACAAGTACATCCAGACGGAGGGAGTATATAATAAAAAATGTAGTACTGCATTGTCCTTAGTTCCAATTCAAAAGGGTGAATCAAAATTTTTATTGAAAGAAAATAGTAATACAAGTTAACACTATGATCCTTCTTCCCCAGGTTAGGCAGGAGCTATATATTGTTGTCCTATTTTCAATATCTCGCTTGGTCCCAAAAACATTAGGCAAATTGTAAAGAATGAAAGCAAACATGCCTAATTCCCAATTTTAGTTGTTTCCTTTATCTCTGCTACTAATTTCTTCTCCTGTGAATATACATATTAATGGAGAAGTATATTATACAGATGGATGGAAGCATCAGGCAATGGTTTACTTAACCAAGAATACTAAAGAATAACATATACTCATTTTGCACACTACTGAAAAGAATCAAATTTTGCTATATATTTACTTCTATTTGTTGTTTTAACAAATTCCAATTGTTTGGGACACTTTTTTAAATGAACATCTAAGGTGATGAAAATTAGCTTCTTTTCTTCAAATAAGACTCTTTGTTGGGATAAAAATAAGTCTAGAAAGAGGAGTCTTTTTTCGGCACGAAGGGATTACTTAATTTCCTATAGTTCACTGATTAGAAAATGATGCTAGAAAGAAACAACTTACTTCCATTTCTAAAGAGATAATTCGACGTTTGATGCCTACAACAATGTGAGAATATGTTAGGACAGTTTAGAAAATACAAACTTAAGCTACCTTGAATCAAAGACATCCATAATTGAAAATTATTGAGATAGAGAGAAGGAAATTTGTGAAATGTGCTTGTAGATGTGAGTGCAATATATATCAAATGACATAAGACTTTGTCATCCTTCTAACCCAAATTACGATCTTTCTAAAAGTGTAATATGCTATATAGTATTAAATTTTAATATTGTTTGGTCCAGTTCAATTTATCAAATTTGCTAAATAGTTTCAATATTGGCAGTTTATGATCATCACACATTTCTTAAAAGATCAAAATATTTAGAGCTTTGCTCAACATGGTGTCGGAAAAAACAAGCAAGGAGTTGATGCACAGGGTCCCGAGGGGTCTAGGGTTTTCAACATGTTTTACGGTTTTTCAGCTATAAAAGCCTGGCTTGTTGGCAGTTTTATAGAGACGAGATTTTTCTTTATCAACACAATCAAACACTGGAGAGGATTTTCCCCTAGCGTTTCCCCTTTCATTTCATTAATCTGTTGTTTTATCACACACCTTGATTCAGTTCGGCGTTAAGACTTGTTTTGAATGGATAGTCTGTTCCCAAGAACCAGTTTATATAATAGCTCTTGTGTAAGCCTGTAAGGGCATGTTAGTCACTAAGAAAACCCATGCTAAATTTCTAGATATTGACAATACATGCTCCATGTGTGGTAGAGGTATTGAAGATATTGAACATTTTTTTGTTTATGCCCCTACGCAAAGGCAATTCTCTATAACATTTTGAGATGGATAAGTATTAAATTCAACTCAAATTTGCAGTAAATTACTCAAAATAAAAATTCCAGAAAATTTTAAATATATTTTCCAGTAAATTTACTAACTCAAATTCAACTCAAAATGATGAACTCAATATATTTTCTAGAAAATTTACCAATTCCAATTCAACTCAAAACGATGAGCTCAACATATTTTCATGTCTCTAAAATAGGTACTAAAAATTTTCAAAAAAAATATACTAAGTTCATAATTCAACTAAATTTTTAGGCATTTTAGTACCCAAACCGATAAACTCAGTACCCAGTATATTATATTTGATTCATAGTTCCAGGAAATTTTCCAATTACTCTTTAGACAAATAAAAAATTGATGAACTGCAATTCATAATACCTTGATCTAAAATCAGTTTTGGATTCAATTGACTCCAATTTCAAAATCAAATCCATACAAACACTAATTTGCAGAAATTAAAATATTTGGAAAAGAAATAAAACCTCGATCGAGAAGGCGATTGATGCTTGTTTGGTAGAGAATAGCGCGGTAGTCGATTGATTAGGCGAGAAATCAAAGCTCTGATCAAGCTGGTGATTGAATTGAGAGTAGGCGATCGATTTGAAATTAGTCGGAAGCAGAGAATGTGTATAGCTGATGGTTTAGATGGTTTAGAGAGAGGAATTGGCTTAGAGTAATATAGTCCGAGTCTGATCAAAACATACACATCTCATATCTAAAAAACGCCGTGTTAAAAAAATTGGAAAAAAAATTGGATACACGAGTTAGTATTTGGAATCGGGTTAGTCCGGTTTTTCTAAAGTTTAGACAGCCCTTTTAAATTATTCGCTGTGTAAGGTGCGATGTATAATATATATTTTGTAGTAGTGAGGTGGATGCTTGCTGGGCTCCAATGGTTAAATCGAACCGGATAAAAACGTACGTACGGGTATCCTTGAACTACCTCGTGATCCACTAAGTGGGGATTCCACTCACCCAACGAAAAACTCCTTCGTTGGTTGAGCATGACCCGCTGATCCAGTGGGAACCCTCATGTCTCCCATAAAGTAAAGTCATAGTCCTTAGACAAGTATAGGTTATAAGGTCATGGCTTGGTGATCCACCAAGCATGATAAACTCACAGGTTTGAGGTGAATGGAACAGGCAAGCGCCGGGTAAATTGTGTGAGTTGAACTGTGCATGTGTGACCTACGTGTTGATTGCATGATATCACTTGACTATTATGAATTGTGGATTCGTTTGATTATTTACTTGACGTTAGTTATATGTCACTCAGCGTCAATGCTGAGCGTGTAGTTGTGTGTGTGCTACATGCAGGTAATCAGGTAGAAGATGAATCTAGAGCTGATCCCGAAAGGCGATGAGGACGAGGAGATGTGGGTGGAGGTAATGGAGGATTTGGAACTCTTAACTATTTTTGAATAACTTAATACGTTTTCGGGCATGAGTCCCAAGTTGCATTTATTTACTTATCAAGCTTCCGCACTATTTCAGTTTACTCCAATACTGGATTTTTTATGAACTGTTGGATGTTTTCCTAAATTGTTTAGAAAAGTAAAGTATGTTAGATACCGGAATAGGGGAAACCTGGTTCGCTAAACCGTGGATTCCGGTTATGCGTGTTGGAGTGTTATAGGATCAAATTGTGTGTAATTTATAAACCAGCCGCGAAGCCTAATATAGCCGGACCTGAGGCTTCCAACTCATGGACGCTTGGTGAGGTTGGACGCTTCAGGTTTGGATGCTTTGGCTTGATTGCAGCCCAAGAATGACATGCGGCAAAAGCGGAATGACTGGGACACGTAGCCATTCCGTCAATGTTTCCTGGCTCAAAAACGCGTTCTGAACACGTTTTCCTTCTGCACCGACTTCAAATTTGGCACCGTTTACGAGATGTGATTATTTCCCTATTAAAAATTAACCCTTTTTATTCCATTCTTGCCCCAATTTTTACATGTTAAATCAAAAGCATTCTTTTTATGACCAAATTATCAAAACACATTATTTTGATGAAAAAGAATAAAGAATTGATTGATTTGATAAATAAAATGTTACAAGAACGTATTTAATATGAGTAAAAAGATAAGTGTGAAATTGACTTATCATGGTCAATCGGTCCACAATTACCCTGAGAGCATCATTCTTCTTGACTGACAAGGGAAGTTTAATCACAATGTCTGACCTATCAATTACTCAAAATTACTCAACAGTCAATTTTGTACTTGATGTTCGGCTTTGAGTAATTGATAGGTCAGACATTGCATGGTAAATTTTGAGATTTCCGGTTTCATTTCATTATGTTTTCCTCACATCTTGGAACATTTTGTTTCTACCTGGATACATGGTATATGTGGTTTCGTGAGATTCACACATAAGACGTTCTCTCACTTCTCCATTAGGGACTACCACGCAATTCCGATAGAACAAAACTCCATCATTATTGATAGTGAAGTCTTGTCTCTCCCCCTTAAAGACATGCTCCCAGATTTTCAGGTAACACTCATTGTGTTTTTGTGTAGTAGGAATTTCATTTTCTAAGCCAGGTTCAAGTCAAAGATCAGCAACATATTTCTAACTTAATGCATCGACTACCATGTTAGCCTTGTCATGATTATAATAGATGTAGCAGTCATAATCCTTAATCAGTTCCAGTCATCTTCTCTGTCTGAGTTTTAATTCTCTCTGAGTCAAGAGTTATTTAAGACTTTTATGGTTTGCATGAATATAAGTAGTCTCTCCAAAGAGATAGTGACGCCATATCTTCAATGCAAATACAACTGTTGCTAACTCAAGGTCATGAGTATGGTAATTACACTCATTGGATTTTGACTGTCTTGAAGCATAAGCTATTGTTTACCATCTTGCATAAGTACACATCCCAATCTATTATGAGATGCATCACTGAAAATTGTATAGTCCACACCTGGTACTGATTGTATTAGTACATGTGTTTCCGTCAAACATTTCTTCAGTGCCTTGAAAATCCTCTAACACACGTTAGTCCACTAAAATTTGACATCCTTCCTCATAAGTTTATTCAGTGGAGTTTCAATGGAGGAAAAGCATTCAACAAAACATCGGTAGTATCCAACTAATCCAAAAAAGCTTCTGACTTCATGAACATTGCTTTGAACTTAACATTCTTTGATGGGAGATAAGTTGCTAGGGTCCACTTTAATACCTTCACTTAAAATCACATGACCCAAAAATGTGACCTCATTAAGCCAAAATTCATATTTTGATAACTTTGTGTAAGGTTTTTGTTCTCTTATTACACCTAGTACTATTTCCAAATGTTTTGTGTGACCATCTTGAGTCTTTAAATAAACCAGAATATCAATGATAAACACAACTAAAAATTGATCTATGTACGGTCAAAGTACACTATTCATGAGATCCATGAATACTATAAGAGCGTTTGTCAATCCAAATAGAATTACCGTGAACTCGTACTGACTATAACGAGTACGAAATACATTCTTCATTATATCATCCTTATCGATAGGTATTTGATCAAATCCATATTGAAGGTTGATTTTAGAGAGTATTTCCGCTCCTCTGTGTTGATCAAATAAGTCATCAATACAGGGCAAAAGATAGCAATTTGTTATCGCCACTTTGTTTAAATGTCGGTAGTCGATGTAGAGTCTCATCAAACTGTCTTTCTCACAAACAAACAAGACAGGTTCTCCCCACGAAGAAACACTCGGTCGGATGAATCCTTTGTCAAGTAATTCTTACAACTGAGCTTTCAACTCTTTCATTTCAGCAGGGGCCATTCTATAAGGAGTGGCTGATATCGGTCATTTTCTAGGAACAAAGTCGATAGAGAATCCCACTTCTCTTGAAGATGGTAGACCAGGACATTCATCGGGAAATACATCAGCGAAGTCACATATTGTTGGTATGTCCTTCAGTTTGTGGGTTTCATTCCAGATATCATGTATGTTACATAAATAGGCTTCACAATTTTTATGCATAAGATGCCTTGCATATAGATACAAAATGAACTCGTACGATTTAAGAACTAGCTTGTCTTTAAACTCTATGAGATTACCATCACCATTCAATTGATAACAGCGTGATATTTGGTCCGCAAATCCATACTAAGGATAATATAAAATTTCTTGTATGATAATTCGATGAGGTTTGCAAGGAACTCTCATTCTTGGATGATCAGGCAATGATTTTGATATGCATGATATAATCCTATACATGCTTGTATCAAATAAGGAAAAAATACCAATGATGACACTAGGGTTTTCCTCAGCGCATCTCTTCATGGAATAGGTGTGTGCATGAGCTCATCATTGCTGCTGCTTCTGGTTCTTGCGTGGATTAGTTTTCACCGTGTAGCATTGACTTGGTACTGACATGTTGAAGCTGACTGACTTTGGACATAAGCTGTTGGTAAAGGTTCACCTTGATTGGCGGGGTAGCTCTTTTGGAAATGTCCAGGTTTGCCACAACCTACACATTGTCCCTATTCGAGCCAGCAATACCTTAGGTGGTGTCTACTCTTAGAATAAAGTCCCAACGCTAGAGGGCAGGTGGTGAATAATGTTTGAATGATAAATAATGGCCTAGCGTCTAATGTTAACACCCTAGATTGCGGTCATGCATCATAATTATAATAATACCTATTTATAATTGAAATTCACAAAATAGGATTTTCTAAGCTTAATTTCCGAACACTCAAATTTTTAATCATTACAGAATACGTTGTGGTGGTAGCTTGCTACTGTCTGACGGTAGCATGTGTTGGGTAAGCACGCATGGATAGCACAGCGAAAAACAAAATTTTTATATCCAATCGTCATTACCAACCAAGATCGTCTTACGAAAACTATAAATTATTGTTGAGAAGAATACCTTTTCTCGTAGAAAACAGATCGGACGGTGCAGATGAAGGGATTGGTGCAACGAACTAGTCACAAACGAATCCAACCTCTAGCGCGTCCACACAAACAACGAATGGTGTTGTATGAAGAATTTATGTTGGTAAATTCTTTCTAGAATATTACTTGAATATAGAAAATTACTAGGAATGATGAAGAAAAATATCAAATATATTTTTTCCTTTTTGTTTGTGATTTTCAGCCAAGGATGAGATCAAGAGAATCAAAGTGGCGTGTAGAAATTTTCTATTTAAAATGGATACCTCCTTTTATTTTATATAGATTATCTAATCATATTAGATAACTCTTTAAGGAATTATTTTAATTATCTAATCATATTAGAAAATTATTAAGGAATTAAGGATATAGTCAAANCCCCCCCCCTAAAATATAATAATTTGTTTTGTCAACTTTAATTATAATATAATTAAGACAAAAATAAATATTAAATATATATTTAACAATCGGTATACACATAACTGAATATATATTTATTCATTTATATTTTATTTCTCACATAATGTTTGACAAACTTAATTATTACATAATTAAAATGTCAACATATTTATTTAATATCTAAGTCACATGTCCCATATTATTTTACATCATTCCATTTAATTTTCTACTTCGTTCAATTGTTCTATGTGTGTGACCCTTCTAAGTATTCATAACGATGACAATAGTATTAGTCACAATTAATATATAAACGATAAGCGGTATCTAGCAACACATTATCGCTGCCCATGTTATAAACATAAAGTTCATTGCAACAATACCTCCAATGACACATT